GTTGCACCGTGCACGCTTCCATTCCAATAGTCAGGCTTGTACAATTGGACGCGTTCCCACGCGTTTTGACGTGTTCTTCACTCATTGATGCCAAGATTTTGGGCCAACCGACATGGAAGGACGCAGACCAGATGTGTTATCATGGCATTGCCCAATGCGCTGTTGCAGAGCCTGCACTGGTGCCTAATCACAAAGTGTGCCTACTACTATGCTCTTAACTTTCCTCCCCTTCCCATTTCCTTGCTAACTTTCTACTCCAGGAAACAATCAAACTTCCCAAAAGTGACTGGAATTGGAAGACAATAGCTTCCTCCATGGCTAAAAGGCGAACTCCTGTTGGTGAGGTACAAAGAGTGCTGGAACCCCGCGGGTCGGGTTTCACAGATGAGCAAACTATGTGTTCCCCACCATTCACCCCACCATTCACCTCATCATTTGCTTTGCGATCTACCTGCCATATTTACCCCCTGATTATTGTCATCCTATCTTCGAAACCGACTTGCTCTTGGGACCTACGCCGGCCCCACAGACCCCGAGGGGTTATCCCTGCAAAGGTGTGTTCAAGCGCGAGGTTTTCTCTGCACCCTCAGTATAGCCTTGGGGTATTATTTTCTCCGACACTCGCAATGACAAGCGCCAGTGTATGCGTGTATTACTATATACCAAATGAATATATTATGATTTACTATTAAAACAGGCAGGGTTACCTATCAATAACTTCCAGGGCACCCTGTCAGTATTTCTGGGGTACCCTGTCAGGATGGCCCCATCAGACTGCGCATATCTGATAGGAGGTCCGGGCACTCGAAATCTGATGGTTGGCCCCGTCAAATGGTAATGGGGCTACCTAGCAGGGCTGGTACTGGGGCAACCCTACACCATCTGCCGGGGTTACTTCCCACTGTGGGTATTGAGCACCATCTCGAGGAGCTCCAAGTCACTGGAATGTAATGCCTGAATGAGCATCTGAGTGAGGGAGAGCGGGTCAGAGGGCTTTGATATGGCTGAGTCTCTTGTGCCCTCGGCCACTAAGTCCAGCGTTGACAGGTGCAGGGGGTCAGAGGCGATGGCAAGTTTCCCTCCTAGAGAAAGCTCAGCCACATCACCATTCAGTTCAGCTTCATTGTTCAGAGCAGCATCAGGATCTTCTCTGTCTGACACCAAATCCATTCCCTGTGTGAAGAGTTGACTCTTCTGCCTCACGGTACCTTTGGATGGGGATCTACAAGACATGCACACATCCGTAAAAATAATAATGTTTGTCTCAAGTGAGAAATGCTTACCCCGGAATCTCCCTCTGCCTGCACAGGGTTAGAAAGGGGAGCTTCGAGTTCGATCTGGGGAATGTAATTCCCATCGTTGTCAAGGAAAGGCTGGGGATGGCATTCTCAGTTTGTTCGTCATCTCGGATAATCTCTAACAACAGTACATACTATGGAAGTGAATACTGGTCATGTGCCTCTGATATAACAGGCAATATGTATTACCGGGGCTTCTTTGTTACTGGTGGCAAAGCCTGCCATGGCTACAAAGGTTCAAAAGGTCCGGTAACAATGTTCGAGCCTACACTGAGGTTGATCAGGGGCGCTTGCTTCTTTGAGGGTGACGATGCAATGGTGGTATTGGGTAGACTGTCATATCCATCCCTGGCCATCGACCTCCACTCCCTCCGATCCCTCCAGTCTACCTCCGCTCCTTCTTCACTAACCTCGGAGCTCCCACATTCCGCAATCACCTCGGTACTTCTCGATGGTCACCACCCCCTCTTTTCAATTTATTACCTACACCTCCCTAAGTACGGAGCCCCAAAGGCTTCCAGACAGCTCCGACATCCGCTAGCGCACTCCCGCCTCCGCCGGGCAATACACTCACTTGCCCTGCAAGCCCACCTTCAGGCCTATCCCTCCTTTCCATTTCTGGGTTATCGTCTACCATTCTGTTAACCCCGTAACCCGACTCGTCGGTAATATTCAATCAGCTAATGTCTAACCCCGTTAGCTCCGCTCCGCTTGGCTCCACCATTTGCGGGCCCGCTCTCGTTGTAACTATATATATACTCAACTTGTACATAGGTTACACCTCAGTAATAATATCGACTAGAGTTTACCCCCTTCAGTTCTGGTTGCCAGTTCAGTAAGTTAGGGCACAGACGTGTTACTTGGCACAGCGCTCCTGGCATAAGTCGCTGAGGCCGAAGCCCTCCGCCATGGAGACACTCCTTCGTCTCAACCTGGTCTCTGACATAGACGTGCAGAGACCCTGATGCTGAAAGAACCAGTAGAGATATGGATGATGAAGTCTTGGCAAATTCGATGAACCGCACATCGGTGTCAAGAGGAATGGAGGCTATTACTCTTCCCTCTTTGATATTAAAGGATGATGAACTGTCGTGGTCATCCAGGTCGCCTAGCACAGGGATTTTCCAAATCGAAACAAAGTGGTCACCCTCTGCAATCGAGGCAAGTATTCGAGAATCTGATTCATTATCAGAATGGGAGATGGAAATCCATCGAAGATACAAAAGGCAGGAAGCATGTCCAATGAATGTGGCAAGTTTGCACAATTGGCTGGGTTGAGAGGATTGATCTTCGTCCCTTGCAATCTACATGGCTGCTCCTGGAAGAGAAGTGGGTTATGGAGGTGTGCGACCAGTCCCAGTGGCCCCAAGATGTGAGGAACAACTGTCGATCAATTGCCCACTCTTGAGACTCCACACGTTGAGGATCCCATCCTGGCCCGATGTCCAAATCATCTTATCCCTATGTTTGCTTTCAGGAATCGCTGCAGAGAGATATTACAAAGTCATAGAGGCTGGAGTCCTGCCTAATGGAGAGAATGCTAGATGTGGATCTCGAGCTTGACAATGAACGCCTGACTTCACTCCAGTAAGGCAAAAAAATTGTGATGTCCCTGGAGGAGAAGCCAATTACCAAAGATTGTTAACTAGTCTCCTGGGTTTCTGAAGGCTGTCTCACTATTTCGCTTCTTTCTGCTCTTGTGGCCCCATCGGTGTTCCGAGGGCTTAATCCATTGCATACAGGTGACACGAGCATCCATGAAGATTTTCTCCAACATGATCTTTTAAGTGGAAGTGCTAAACACGTGTAACCGATGTTTGTCGACTGCAAGTGAGATATGTGCCTGAGTGGGAAAATGAGGAAAAGACGCTACCAGGGCTGTTTCTATGATGACTGGTACGAGCCAAGCACGCAGGCGTATTCGCTTCCTTTTAGGCTGTGGATCTTGCTTGCTCTTCTTCAAATTGGAATTGAACCATTTGGTGAATTGAAAAGTGAAAGTGAAAACTTCCTGCAACGACGATGTGGAGACTGGCAAAAGGGTCTGCTAAGATCAGTTCATTCACGGAGCCATGTAGCCAAGTCAGAATGAAACATACCGCCTTTGAAGTTCCCATCCATGTATGTGATGTTGTGTCAGGGCACACCCACCCGACCCGGCTCCACCTGCCCTCACCTGGTATCCCGCTCACCTCTATTCCTCACCCTTCACCACTGTTCCTCATCTCTTGTTCTTCCTTTTGCTCTTTTGCTCTTTTGTTCTTTCTTCTATCTTTATCTACATGGACGACCATTCCCCATATCTATGTATTATTGACCTGCCTGCGACACATGCATGATGCACCCAGCCCCAGATGACCTGGACGGCCTCACGGTGCAACCCAGCACGCGCACATGCAGCACACACCCTCAGGATCCCCCACAGGGACACCTGGATGACTGTGGCTGTATGCAGGGTGACGTGGCAAACCTCATGTGACCCAAGCTGCATGTACATAAAGGTACCTGGGGTGGGAACCGAAGAAGTAACCTTCTTCTCACAATTCCCACTTCAGTCTGAGTAGCCAGGGATCCTTGTCCCAGATCAGGCCCATCACTACGCACACCCGCTCCACACCCTGTGACAGCCTCAGTGCCGGGTGTTACACCTGGGCCCCCTCAACCCCGGATGCGTCCCTGACATGTTGGTGCAAAAGATCGAACACATAAAGTCCCCCAGGGTCATTATCCTGAAACAAATCTTTGCTGCGGGGAAAGGTGGTTCGATGAAGTGGCAGGATGGGTATGGGATAAATGTGTTTTACACGATCTTGCTGATCAATAATATGTCTCGTCGAAAAGGATTCACATAGTAATAGCACCCGCACCCAGTGAAGAATGGCGCCTTTTGAAATGAGCTGCAGGGACCGAACGCCCCATCTGCAGTGTGACCTGATAAATATATGGATGTCAAACAATCGAGGTCACTGACTCGCTCAATTCAAGCGAGATGATTGAACAACCCCACCTTGTGCCTGGTGAGGCAGTTGTTGAGGCAGGCTGAGCGTAATACCAGATCCTGAGGGACGCATGCAGCGAATGTGACATCGCGATTGTAGGGAAGATAGACCTTTAACGAAAAAAGGGAGATGGGGGTTAGCACGGAACGTGATGAGAGATTAGAGTTACTCAGCAAAGCGACAAGAACTGGCACCTGTCGCTGTAAAGTCGACGTTTTAAATGTATGGATATCGAACGATCGAGGCTGCTAATTTGGTCGATTCAAGGACATGATCGAACCCCAGTGCCTTCATCGGGTGTGAGTCATTATCGAGTTAGCGCAGCAGGCTGAGTGTAATACTGGTTTTGGCTGAGAGATGCATGCAGTGAATGTGAAATCGCAATTGTAGGGAAGACCGACCTTTAACGAAAAAAGGGAGAAGTGGTTTAGTGCCGAACATGATGAAAGATGAGAGTTACTCAGCATCCATGAAGACTGGCACCTGCAGTGGAACTAGCGGTGGGTGGTAGAGTCATCATTACAATCAATATCGACATGGACATGGATGCGAGAAGTGATTGATTAAGCTGAACCGGTTTCAAGTGGGAGAATTGGACAATTCCATTGTTTCCGGTGGTGAAAACGATCGAATACACAATGGGGAAGGGCGCAAAGCAGAAGGTTCAACAGCAGCAAGTTACTTTTGGATGGTGCATACACGTTCATGTAGTATCAAGCCCAAGTACGAGGATACCCAAGGATTTCCCCTGTCCTCGTAAAAATCGTCAGTTCACACACAGGAGAATAATTCCAGGCAGGAGTGGCTTCTCGCCACCTTCCCAGTGGAACGACTTCTTCGACATGGGGATGATGCTGGTAGGGGACTTTGGCGCTGACGATGTAGCCGGATCACCATACCTCCATGGCTTCACGAATCTCCATGTCGAAGAAGCCCGTAAAACAGGCAGGTGGAGTGGGTTGCATAGCAGTCAATGCGGTGGACGAAGGGATGTAGGGTGGCTGGATAGGGCACAACACACAAACTTCTTTAAGGGGGATGCTGCCTGAACATGTTTGAGTGGCATGTATTACTGTTGAGATGTTTGGTAAATAATTGAGCGAAATACCTCCATCGGAGCAGCAGCAATGTTTAACGGAGCTCTAGCTTATCAAATTGGAAGCCTGGATTCAGCTCCCCAGTTCGATTCCGCATCAAAAACAATGTACTATATATCATTAAGCCCGGATCTAAACAAGGACTCACAGGGTGGGACTGGTGTTCTGCAGGGAGCTCCCAGTTCAGCGAGACAGGGGAAGTTGCACACGACTTGAATGCGGAGCCAGAATCGGAAAGGGAAACTTGCGGCATCTTGAAAACCTCTTCCAACCGTTCTACAAAGCTAAGCTGCACACCACCCTGGTTCAGACGATTAAGTTCCCCTGCGAAGTCGAAGCTTTTCTTGCCAGTGTCGTCCTCACGCATATGGTCACCTTCTTCATCTGAATATGTTGGTTCATGACCAACCCCCGACAGCGCAGTAATCACAAGGGAAAAATGAGGGCCTGGCACAATGAACCAGGAGTGGAATTCGAGCCCAAAGTTGTAACTGGTAGGGACAAGTGATCGGACACAGGAGACTCAGGTGGGCAAGGGATAGAAAGCATGTCGTCTAACGACCGTACAGAACCACTGCTTGAGATGATGGCTGTCAGGTAGTATGTCCAAATCTGGGTCAGTAGGTATCTCATCCTCAGAAGATGGAGACGGTTCTTGTGTTTGCTCAGTGTTATTGGCTTCGTCGGTACAGCGACTCAGCTGATGATTGTTCCCGAGCTCACTGAGGAACAGGTCGTCCTTTCCTATGGATTGTGACGTTCTTCAGTGGACTATCGAGACCGTCCAAAGATGATGTATTACCTGTGGACTTGCCCCGTGGTTGATGAATGCGTGAGGAACCCCTGACAGTGATCTCATTTCGAGACATCATGCAGTCATATGGGCGTAGTGAACTGATGCTTGGCTCTTGTTCAATTGATGATTCACAAGGACCCTTGCACAGATACAGTGGGCCAAAGCTCAGACCAACTTCCAGTAAAAGACCTGTCAATTGTCAGAATCTGGAGATTATTGTCAGAGTCGGGCAGACTGTCAGAAGACGGACTGAAGACGGATTGGGTTTCTGTCTGAGTTGGGGTCGGAGATTGTGGCAGAGGTCTGTTGGAGCATGCACATGTGGATATGTGGGCGGAAATGTGCGGCACGTCCAGAAGCGCTGTTCAAGGTTAGCAGAGTGGGATCACGGCCTCAGCGACTCAGGTGGAGCGCTGTGCCCTGAGCTTGACGTTTGGGGGAGATCCCGTATTTACAGACTGACACTTACAGCAGACTTCAAACAAGACTTGCGGGTGGAGCGGACCTGTAGGAGGAGCACGGACTCTGCGAGCACGGACTCAGAGGGGGGGAAGCCCCCTTTGCAGAAGGAGGGACTCAGAACAGACAGGGGGGTACTCTAGTTGATTTCAGACTGAGGTCCCTGAAAGTATTTACAAGGTATAAGTAGATAAGAGAAATCAAAAGAGGGACCGGTCGGTCCGGTGCGGAAATAAGCGGAAATGAGCGGGGACTTGTCAAACTAAACCAAGGACAAGAACCTGGGAAATGGGAGGCAAGGAATGAATAAAGTCAAAGCGGATCAAGTACCAATATTGACAGATTAAATGAATGAATAGGAAAGTGCAATAGCACACGGATCAAATGCCAATATTGGGGTGAACATAATAGGCACTCGGCAAGGAATGAATGTTATGTTGCCGAGTGACAAAAATGACCAGAGGACAAAAGCGGAGGTCAGCACGCGGTGCCAACACAAGTCCGCGAACAGAGGTTGATCTGTCAGCACTGTCACACAAGGACAGCATGAAGGCCAACAGAGGTACAGAGGGGAGTGGGAGTGTTGACCTGACCAGAGGTGTCAAGGGCAACCAGAAGTGGGCAGAGGGTGCAGAGATGGGCAGAGGGCACGGAGTGGGCAGAGGGTGCGGAATGCATGGAAGCGGGGCATGGCTGCGACCACATAGCGGGAAGCAATGAGTGTGGTTCAGATGGAGACAAGGCTGGCATAGGAGCTGGAGGGACTGAATGCCGGGAGCGCCAAGGGCTCGGGAACTGGAGGTAAGGTCGGAATGCCGGCAGGGTCTAGGTTCTGATTGTTGGCCAAGTCTCACGCAATAAGGCAGGGGGCCAGACATCGGGTTGGGGGCTGGTTAGGATGGGTTTTGGGTTGGCAGATTCACCTATCGGCGTTGGTTCGCTGCTGACAGAGCCCCGGGATTTGTCGGTCATGACATCAATGTCAAACATGCGGTCCGGTTTGACTGAAGATGGAACATCAGGGTAGCAAAGCTGACAAGCGCGCTCAATGGTATGAAGAGCGAAAGCGGGCACAGGTCCGGCATCAAGTTTTTTGAGTTGGGGGACCAATGCTTTGCAGGGCTTGCCTCCGAAGTTGCACTCAGTTGATATAACTCCTCAGTTGCAGCCACCAACATATTGATGGGCTGTGGTCTTCTCTCCGGGGTATGACCTGGGACATAAAGAATTGCGTCCTTCTTGATCATCTGTTTGGATGCCTCGGTCGAAGGAAGCAAGAAAGACTCGGAACCACGGGATGTGGAGAACAGATCAACGGTGCGAACTCGAAATCAACGGCGATTGGCTCTCCATAGGACTCAACAGATCTGGTCGGGCTGGATTTGCAAGTGGATGCCTTCATGTTCCCAGTGGAGGGAGAACTTGAAGCACTCAGAATATGTTAGACAGCGCACCACGTTTCCGACATTTTCCATCCTTTGTATCTTTATCGTGGCCAGGAGGTGCAGTCCTCCGAGTCATGGAGCGAGACTCAAGGATAGACAGAGTGGAAGAGTGCCACAAACTGGCAGCCCCTGATGACATTGAGTACACCACAGTGCTGAGCATTTGTTGCTGGCTTGAGACGGTTTGCTGTGTTCAACAGTAGAGATACCTTGAAATAGGTCTCGTTTAGGACATTAATACCCTCTAAAAAATGGAGATAAATGTCATGGTCTGCACGACGATTCACCAGATAGTTTTCAAACCAGTGGGAGTGCTTGGTGCTGAAACGCTTTTTCTCATCAAGCTTAATGTCGAAATTGTTTGCAGCAATGTTGTTAATGATGAAGAGGATCTTCTGACACATCGTCTGCTTGAACAGCTGTGAAAGCAAGAGGGGCAGGCTCCATTTCGGGGAGATGAATGTCATTTTCGCCAGTATTATTGCTCCCTTTCCCAGACCCAGTTTCGGCGATAGTAAGAGTCTTCTAGCTATCACTGGGCGAGCCAATTGAAAGTGAGGTATCCGGAGAAGTGTATTGCAAAGAGGGATAGGTAACCTGGACTCGAAGGGAATAAGGGCTTTGATGCCAAACGTGGAGAGATTGGAGTCGGGTGAGCTTCAGACATCTCAATGAGAAGGATGAAATCAATGGGACTAATCGACCCGAAGAGATACCCCATCATTACGAGCCCCCAGGCTGGAGAAGATGATTGGAAGAACTTATACCTGTCAAATAGCGAGTGAAGCGTACATCCATTCCTTTGGATTGGAGTTTTTGACTCATGCAGCATGCCAATGGCCTGATCGACAGAGATGTCACCAACATACATTCTCCGATAGATTGTCTCAACTTCAATTTCAATCCCCAGAGAAAAAGTGGCAATGGTGAGCCTAGGCTCTGCATCAGAATCTGGGGTCAAGTTCATAGTCTGGGATGAAGCTGATAGCTGAGATTACGGATTTCGGTAAAGTATTTCACATTGGTCAGAGATATGTTGCTGTGAAGAGATGAATTGTGAGAGCTTTAGTATGCATCTGTAGGACATAACTTACAAAGCATACGGATAACATAAGCAATAGACAAGTTGCGTTCTTCTGCATGTCCTGGACAGTTTTCCCAGCACCATGCACAATAACAAGTCTTTGAAAGTGCATGAACCTTGCAGATGACGTGGATGGGTCCGAGCATTCCAACTTGGCTTCCTGGGATTTGCAGAGAATGTCAGCATATTTTCGGCACTGGTTCAGAACCAGCAGTGGTCATGGTGGTACCAGTAGGTGTAGTAACAATGACGTTGGTGTCTTGCCCATCCTGGGGACATTCAATGGGGTAACCAGTGGGGAGAAATGCATTGAAGCCTTGAATCAGAGATGGGTGGCCGGTAAAAAGGGTTGAGGCTCTGGAGTGTCAATCCTATATAGACGTTCTAAGTAAACCCACATCATAGAATCAATCCTGAAAACAAATCTCACAACTGACTTTTAAAATCCTTCATGATATCGAGAAACTGATTATAGACATCCAGTTGGTCACTGAACTTAACCTTCACCAGCTCCAAGTACGAGAGGGAGGGTGCATTTACAGATATTCCGGGGGTCAGCATTCCCGATTCTGGGAATGGACGGATCGCTGCCGGTGTCTCAGGCACAGAACCCTCTGCAAACTCGTCATAAGGTGGGACTATCTGTCGAAATGAATACCAAATATCAATGAACCCATACGACTCCGGAACGGACAAGTCATTGTATATCCATTGGGGCCCGTTCTGAGATCCATCAGCTCCACTATCCAACATCCGACGTATAGCAGAAACAAAGTCAGGCACCCCGCACAATTCTGAGGCCTTGGAAATTGGAATACACTTAGAATGTGGCTCTAACGCAACCTTAACCCCACTGTCGGCTAGAATGGCTACAGACTTAAGTCAGTAATGAACGGCAATATGATATAGTCATGTATGGGTGTACCACGTGAAAGTGGAAAACGCTCAGCAAGGGATGTTCCCTCACAGGGTTCTGGAGCCAACCCTGACACTGGATCACCACTCTCCTCGCCATCTCCTTCTGTGCATGGCAGCAATTGCTCCAACTCCTGTGTGACCTAGAATATTATAAGTCAAGATCAATATCTTAGCGAGGAGATGTCCATACTCCTGGCTTCTGGGATAATTTCCATTCTGTATATAGCGTTCAGAGAGCCACCTTCTCTTGAACCTCGAGAAAGTTGACTATTTGTTGCCCATAGTCATGCTTGTTAGACATGCAATACTGTTACAGGAATGGGTTCCGGGGAACCCAACCTGAGCCGTTCGGCTCACTAATGGAGGTGGCTGCGTAGCCATCGGAGGGAGAGCGGAATGGGATGAGTGTCTGGCAGTGTAACCTGTGGGTTGGCCAACGGTAACTTGGCGCTCCTGGGAGCGTGCCGGTAGCGGGTGTGCTGGGAGCAGTTGGCTAGCGGTGACTTGGCACTCAATGGAGCGTACCGGTAGCGTGGGATACTGGGACTCCCAAAGGGAGTCACCCAGTTGGTGGCTATCGGTGACTTGGCGCTCATGGGAGCGTACCGGTAGCGGGAGTTGTTGGGGAAAGCGGGCTGGTGGACCAGTGCACGGTAGTGAGTGACTGTGGGAAGTGGGACCCGCAGGTGCATGGCCAGACATTCTGGAGCTGCCTGGACTATATCCCTCTCCTAAGGAGGTGGGATAGGCTACAGTTCCTGATAGGGAACTTCTGGTTGGATGGGAGTGACCGCTCAACCACCCGGTGGACTGGTGGGAGCGGGCAGCAGGAGGTTGGGCGTGGGAATGCCCTCCTCGCTGCGGTTTTGTCATGGAGAGGATGAATAGGGAGGTGGACATGGTTCCAAGGTTACAGGTTGAGTTTACAGTGGTGGCACAATGGTGAGGATGTTACAATTGCGGTACAAGGTTTGTGGGTTATGTATTCGATAATGAGAAAACATCTCGGCATTTGCCATACATGTCATATGACTTGTATCTATCTAATACAAAGGTTGTAATGGCCAAGGGAAGTCCCTTGGAAATCAACAAATCCCCCAGCCAGCACCAAAACCCAGTGGGAAAGCTTGGCATGGGGCTTGACAATGAAATAAAGGTGAAAGGTTTGAATGTTCAGTCATGGACCATAAGATTCTAGGTCCATTCCTATAACAAATACGGTTCCTTGCACATTTTAATATGCTTAGTCTCTGGAGTTTCCGTTGAGAAGTGCCTTTGCGACGTGTATCATCCATAAAATGTGGAAGGGTGTGTAATTTAGGGATATTCATATGCCCCTGTTCTCGAGAACCATTTTGAATGAAGGCACTCTTGTACCGATGGAAACGCTCTAGGCTCTTCTTCATGAATAGCAGGTCAGTCTCAGATATGACAGGAGACTGCACAACAAAGATGTAATCCAGCAATGAACAGACCGCTTTCAAAATTGCTGGTGTGACTGCATCATGCCCTGCAATAACAACAACAGCAATGCTTTGAAAAGCCTTAAACTCTCGTCCCAACGCCTGAGTTATACATGAGAGTCCATTGGGAAAATGTGGTGCATGATTCTCTGGAGGTTGGGCAATTAGACGTCGGTCCAACTCCGCAACACCTAATGTTGACGTAAGCCATGAGACAACATGATCCCAAAAGAATTTGTAGCAGCCATGCAACAAGTCTTGACTGATGAAGTGCGAAGGACACTGTTCAAAATCCTTCCAAAAAGGTGGAGCCACTCAACCCAAGCTTAAGCTTCTTTGCATCTCGGGAGAACTCAAAGGTGGAAGCGTGAGGATATTTTCCCTGCAATTGTCTTAGTGAGTCAAGAATCCAGTCGTGCGTGCGTGCCGGGTGCTCAGTGTACACCTCTTGGGACTGATGCAGGACTAAGCACACCAAACAGTGCCCCACCTGTGTTATAGCGATCATTTGTTGCTCTTCGAGATCAGCCAAGTGTGACATCAGAATTGCCACGCACGCGTGCACCAGGCCATCAGGACCAGTCATCAATCTGGGTACTTGCTGAACGGTGAGAAGGAGAGCCAGTGTAATTTCCATGCAGCGATGAAACATCTTTTGTTGTACTATTCCAGGCATGCATGCAGCTTCTTCGAGAGTTCCACCTGACATGTCGAACGTTGTCTGGGCAAATTTGCATACTGGTAGCTTTGCAAGCAACATCCAGGCGTGGCGATTAATCTTTCGGCGGACATCCTTATGGATATTCCCTAGAGATATATAGAGTGGATGCATGCGTTGATCACCAATGAAATTTGTCAGATGCATTTTGTCTGAAGCAAGCATCACACTGAGAATAGTGGTGCCATCAGGGAGACAAGCCTTATTGTCATAAATTAGTACTAACTTTTACATGTTCAGATGTGTGCCCACCTGCTGTTCATGCCAGTCATCCCCTGTAGCCATCTCATGATAGACCCTTACTGTCAGAGACCAGGTTGAGACGAGGGAGTGTCTCCGTGACAGAGGGCTTCAGCCTCAGCGACTTGTGCCAGGAGCGCTGTGCCAAGTAACACGTCCATGCCCTAACTTACTAAACTGGCAACCAGAACTGAAAGGGGTAAACTCTAGTCGATTTTATTACTGAGGTGTAACCTATGTACAAGTTGAGTATATATATAGTTACAACGAGGGCGGGTCCGCAAATGGCGGAGCTGAGCTAACGGGGTTAGACATTAGCCGATTGAATATTACCGACGAGTCGGGTTACAGGGTTAACAGAATGGTAGGTGATAACCCAGAAATGGAAAGGAGGGATAGGCCCGAAGGTGGGCTTTGCAGGGCAAGCGAGTGTATTGCCCAGCGGAGGCGGGAGTGCACTAGTGGACATCGGAGCTGTCTGGAAGCCTTCGGGGCTCCGTCCTTAGGGAGGTGTAGGTAATAAATTGAAAAGAGGGGGTGGTGACCATCGAGGGGTACCGAGGTGATTGCGGAATATGGGAGCTCCAAGGTTAGTGAAGAAGGAGCAGAGGTAGACTGGAGGGATCAGAGGGATCGGAGGGAGTGGAAGTCGATGGCCGGGGATGGATATGACAGTATCCCCTTCTTAGGCCTGAACCCTTGAAGGCCCAGAATTAGTAAGGTGAGGGGAGCTGTACTTACAGAAAAAAAAAATGAAAACGGAAGTGAGGAGTGGAGAGGAAGGGAGAGATGGGAGAGGAGTCGGGGTTCCTAAGGGGCTTCGGGTCCAGGCTTATCTGGGTACCGAGAGTGGAACACTTTGACGAGGTCGGAGGCGTGATCAAGTTCGCTGGCAAGGAGCCATTGTGTCTCCTTGTCGGTCCCTTCATAGCCTAGCCACTTGACCAGGTAGAGCAACTTGTTGCATCTACGTTGGTCGATCTTGGAGTCGAGTATCTCCTCGATCTCGAACTCCATCTCACCTTCGATTTCTATGGGTGGCGGAGGTGGCTGGTGGTGGTTCGGAATGATGTTTGGGATGGAGGGTTCGATCTGCGAGACATGGAATACCGGGTGAATGGCTCGCATGTTTTCCAGCAGGTGGAGAGTGAGGGAGTGAGTTCCTATGCGGGCAATGATCTCGACTGGGCCGAGGTTTTTCTCGGAGAGCTTTTTGGAAGGTCAGGTGGAGCGGAAATACTTGGCCTTTACATAGACCGAGGTTCCTACTTTGAAAGCTGGGGCAGGACTCCGATGGGAGTCTGCCAGGCCCTGATAACGGATCTGAGCGAGGTGCATTTCCTCACAAAGGAAGTGATGGAGGGAGTCGAGATCTACAGAGTACTCCTGGGCGCATACTGATGTCAGATCTCGCTCCGGGTGAACGGTGATGTTCGGATGGTAGCCTTTGTTGGCGAAGAACGGGGAGATGCCTGTGGTGGCATTCGGAGTGTTGTTGTATGCGAACTCCGCGAGAGGCAGGAGTTTGGACCAATTGTCCTGCTGGTAGTTACTGTAGATGCGCAGGTACTGCTCGAGCGTCTGGTTCCTCCGTTCGGTCTAACCGTCTCCTTCTGGATGATAACCGGAGGTGAAGTGGAGGTGGATGTCGAGGGCCTTACCAAGCGAATGGAAAAAATGAGAGACAAACTCCGGGCCCCTGTTGGAGGTGATGTGGGAAGGAACTCCGTGCTTGGAGAACACATGGAGGAGGAAGAGCTTGGCCAGTTCCGGAGAGGTGATGGTATCATGGGTAGGAATGAAAATGCACTGTTTAGACAGGCGGTCCATGATGACCAAGATGGAAGTGAATCCGGAAGAGCAGATGGAGTTCCAAGGACGTTCGGGGATGGGGAGTTGTTTGAGCAAGCCGTAAGGCTTATGACGGGGGACTTTGGCATGGGCACAAGAAGTGCAGGAGGAGACGTAGCTCTTGACGAAGTTACAGATGCCCGGCCAGGTATACTCACGACGTACTAGGTCCAGAGTCCGGTTTTGACCGAAGTGTCCGGAAAGTTGGTGGTCGTGTTTGTCTCGCAAAATGCAGAGACGGAGATCGTTGGAATCCGGAACGTAAATGCGGTTGTCCAGCCTTAACAGGCCTTCAGCATCGACGGACCAGCGGGAATTGGGGAGGTTGGGGGAAGCGAGATGAGAAGAGATTGTGGTATCGGAGGAGAGGGAGGCTAGAATGTCTCAATGGAGAGCCTCTGTGTCGACAAGTATGGCTGCTCGGATTACTGTGGCAGCTAGGAACGTAGCTTGTAAGGACGCAGTGAGCTGTTCCGAAGTGAAGACCGGTCGGAAGTTCTGCAGGTTGATGTGAGCGTAGTCCATATCCCCTTCTTTGGGATAGACGTCCCAGCGTCTAGTCAACGCATCTGGTTTTACTCCGAGTCTTCCGGGGCGGAATCGGACAGTCATGTGGAACTGGGAGAGGAACTCTGACCAGCGGGCTTGCCACCGGGTCAAGAGTTTGGTGGTGGAAAAATACTCGAGGTTCTTGTGGTCGGTAACGACATCGATTGGAGTTCCTGAACCTTCAAGGTAGTGACACCACGATCAGAATGCGTCATGGATGGCGAGCAGTTCCTTATCATGGGTGTTGTAGTTGAGCTCCAGTGCCGAGAGTGTTCTAGAGCGGAAAGCGACAGGGCGAATCTCTCCGTCATCACAACGGATGGACAGGATTCCGGAGATCGCGTAATTGGAGGCGTCAGTTTCTACAATGAGGGGGGCGTCGGGTAACCAATGTGTCAGGATAGGAGCAGAAGTGAAGGCTTCTTTCAAGGTGTTGAAAGCAGAGCGACAGTCGTCAGAGAATAACCAGGGAGCTCCTTTACGCATAAGGCGCGTCAGGGGGACCACAATGTCGGAGTATTGGTGGATGAAACACCGATAGAAGTTAGCGAAGCCAAGGAAGGACTGGACATCCTTGACTTTATGGGGCTTGGGCCAATCTTGGATGGCTTTGACCTTCTCGATGGACATGGTGAGTCCGGAAGGAGAAAGGCAGTATCCGAGATATTCCATAGTGTCCGTATGAAATTCGCATTTCTTTGGATTGGCATATAGGCTGTGTTTGCGGAGTCTCCTAAGAACTTCTTGGACATGCTCCTGATGTGAAGCCATGTCTTCCGAGTAGGTAAGGATGTCATCTAGGTAGACTACCACAGAAACGTCCAAGAGGTCGGCAAAGATCGTGTTGACGAATCGCTGGAAGGCCGTGGGTGCATGCATGAGACCGAATGGCATGACAAGCCACTCATAGGAACCATAGCGCATGCGGAAGGAAGTCTTCCATTCATTGCCTGCTGCAATGCGAACCAGGTGGTAAGCATACCGGAGGTCGAGTCTGGTGTAGACTGTGGCACGGCTAGGTGCGTCAAGGAGGTCGGAGATGTGGGGGAGTGGATAGCGATCCTTTTTGGTGATCTTGTTCAGCCCTCGGAAGTCAACGCAGAGATGGAGGGATCCGTCCTTCTTGTGGATGAAGAGAACCGGTGCTGCGTGAGCGGAAGTAGCGGGACAAATAAACCCGGAGGCAAGGTGTTCATCTAAGAATGCCCAGAGGGCCTCAAGTTCCGAAGTAGAGAGAGAGTACATGGTACCCAAGGGTGGTGAAGTGCCTTCCTCAAGGTCGATCTTCAGGTCGTGCTCACAGTGCGGTGCCAGCGTCAAGGCTTTGCTCTTACTGAACACATCCGCGAACTCGTGATACTCCTTCGGAATGGCTGAGAGGTCAACGGAATCGGTGTGGGATGAGGCAGCCCTCAAGCGGCTGTCCTCGGAAGGGATGGTTAGGCTGAAGGATACCGATCCTTCAAGTCGACAAGCCTTCACGAACGCGGAACGGCTGACGAACTCGATAGATGGTAACGGAGGAATGGGAGCCTGTGACTGAGGTGCTGGTGGAACATCAGATGGTTGGATGTCGGACGACGGCAGTGGTGCCGGAGACGACGGGGGAGAGCTCAGAGTAACTGTCTTGGTAGGTTCGGAAGTTCGGAACGTAATACTGCTTGAGACCCAGTCAATCAATGGATTGTAGCGGGTAAGCCAGTTGTGTCCTAGGACTAGGGAACATGATCCATCCAGCAATGTGACAAAGAAAGTCGTGGGGGTGATGTTTCCGGAAGCGAAGCGGAGGGGAATATCAATGGCACGGGTTATGATTGAGTTGGTGCTACCGTTGAATAGGCATAGTTGTAGGGGTTTAATCTGATATGTCTTCAAGGCCAGCTTCTTTACGAATGTGTCGTCGATGAAGCAGTCCGAAGACCCAGAGTCTATGAGTGCGGGTACGTTCTCATAGGAGCGGAAAAGTTTATTTTGTGTCCTATCATTGGACGGAGGAGAAGGGACAGGAGAAGAGAAAGAAGAGAAACGGAGAGAGGTGGATCAATCTACGGAAGTAGTTGGAGGGGGCGGTGGAGAGAGTGGTACATCAGCAACACTATCTACAACGGGTAGAACATTAACCGGAGGGTCAACATTGAGAGGAGAAAATAGACCATTTGAAAGAGAAAAAGAAACAGGAATATGGAGGGAGGATAAGTCGGAGATGGAAGACGCGTTTAAACGCACTTCTTTGAGTGCACAGAGGGAAGGATCGCAACCCCCGGTCCGTGCGGAGTCCACGGGGGTGCGGACTAATTTTTTGCTTCTGCAGAAGCGGATCCTTGCTCCTTGGTCTGGGCCGAACGGGCCTTAGACGCGCAAGAAGAAGACTTGGGACAGTCCTTGACCATGTGGCCAGACTGGCCGCAGAACATACAAAGTTTCTCGTCGAGACGATGCTTACGCTCTTGTGGCGTGAGCTTGCCGTTGTCTCCGAGTTTTGATGAAAGGTCCGGTTTAGCGGAGCTGGCCTCGGACTTCTTATTGTCCTTCGGAGGCTTGCTACCGGAAGCGGA